GAGACCAAGTAGAGCCTTTCTTAATGGGCCTTTGAGGGTGTTTTATTTAACATTATATTAATTAAAATAAAGCCCAAAAATAAGTTTGTGTTGGCTGACCAATTTAAATGGGTTGTTTTTTGATTTGTATTAATCTTGTCAATTGCACATTCAGGGAAGTTACAAACTTCACATTTAATGATGGTGCTTAATTTACTTTTAATGTGTGTAATGGTGGCTAAAGCTATATGTACAGTCATGGAAGAATGAAATATCTGACCTGAATTTTGTTTTCAAAACTTATTTTGTGAGAGTGATTTTCCTAGGTTCTTTTTTGAATCAAATTTAGAGATTTATCAAAGGATCTTCTATCACCTTTGTGTGACGTCTCAAATTGGCTTATCTTCCTTCCAAGGAAGTGAAGCCACCACTATCCACATATCTCCGGTGTAGAGTATTTCAATAAAACTACGACCAGCTACCTTTTTTTTTTTATATCCCAACACAACTAACCATTCTCCTTTTTTAACTCATTCTTAATTCGTCATTCCAAGAAAGGAAACAATTTTCTATCCCCATCAATTTTGACCCTAGCCTACACCTAGCTCGATTATTATCCATTTTCTTCCTAAATTCTAAGTTTAATCTATTCAACAAGAAATTCCAACAAGCGTAGAGGATCACCCATGAATTGGACTAATATATGTATAGAGTAACACGATTCAGGTCGTGTAATTTTCAAGTAGATTAGACGCCCTACAAGCCACTGATACTTCTCTGGATCACTAAAGACGATGTCATTGATGGTGGCAAGATGGTGGTTTTGCTCCATGGGTGTAGAAATAGGGCGCGTGCCAAGTAAGCCAACCTCATTTAATGTCAAGAACATATTTGTGTTGTGAAAGAAACAAACCATCCTTCCCACGTGCTACTTCAATGTCGAGAAAATACTTGAGAATGCCCAAGTCTTTCATATGAAATCTCTTAGTGAGTTGTTGTTTGAATTTTCTGATTGCTAAAGAAGAAGAACTAATAATGATAATGTCATCAATATATACAATGACATGTAAAGCAACATTACCTTTGGAATAACTAAACAATGAGTAATCAACATAAGATTGTGTAAAACCAATTTCCTCCAAAGCAGTCGAGAGCTTAGCAAACCAATTTTGAGGTGCCTGTTGGAGTTTATATATTGACTTACATAATCAACACACCTTACCCAAAGTAGTAGAGTGTAAACTAGGAAGGAGTTGCATATAGACCTCCTTAGCAAGATCTCCATGTAGAAAGACATTATGCACATCCATTTGGTGTAGCTCCCACTTTCTTGCTATCGTTATAGCAAAAAATGTGTGAATTGTGGCCATTTTAGCTAAAGGGAAAATGTTTCATTAAAGTCAAGTTTGGCAATTTGTCAATTCCCGTAAACCACTAGTTGCCCCTTTAATTGTTCAATTGTTCCATCAAATTGATACTTGACTTTATAGATCCACTTGCAATCGATCGGTTTCTTTCCAAGTGGAAGGTCCTCTAAAGTCCAAGTCATGTTTCTCTCAAGTGCATCTATTTCATCTTGCATAACTTTGTGCCAACCTAGATGCTTAACAACTTCTTTAAAAGAGGTGGGTTTAGTTCCTGTAGTAAGTGCTGCCAAAAAATAAGTGTGTCTCAAGGAAAACTTATCACAATTTACATAATAAGTAATAGGAAAAGAGTACTTGAGGATGTTGAGAGAGTGGGAATAGGTGATGGGATAGGGTTTGTAACATGAACGATGTTAGTGATGAAATCTTTAAGTTTACTAGAAGGTTTCTTTATTCGATGACCTCGACCAGTTTCAGATAAAACATTTTCTTCATTAATCACAACCTTTCCAGTATTTGAAGTGGCACCAAGTTGTTAGACAACATCCAAGTCGCCACCCGTAGGTGGTGTGATGTGTTGTTCTACCTCGTTATCGGTTTCTCTTGCCATACTTGAGTGCTCCTCACTCCCCTTTGCTAAGGGAGTATCCTTAAAATAACTCACAATGTCATAATACTTCTTATTTTTAAACACATCATTGATATTATACAAGTAGACTTCATTGGAAAAAGGAGACCATTGTTCACAAAAAAATAACATATCGAGATATAAAGAACATTTTTTTCTTTAAGTCATACAAACGCCACCCTTTTTTTACCAAATGGATACCCCACAAACACACATCAACAAGAGCAAGTGTCAAACTTATCCTTCACATGAGGTTGATTCTTGGCAAAGCAAAGATAACCAAATACACAAAGGACATCATACTTAAGAGGTGAACCCACTACAAAAAAAACACTTATTACCGACGAACTTTTTCCCACGGATAAATATCCGTCTGAAAAATGACATTATCGACGAATTTTTTTGACAATATGTGTCCATCTGAAACATAAATGATTCCGACGGATATTACCCACGGATTTTTTCCGTGAATAATTTCAGATGGAGCGAATGTTACCCACAAATTTTTTCCATGGAAAAATTATGATGTTTCAGACAAATATTTCCCACAGATTATCTGTCTAAAACATTATTTGTAAAAAATGAAAAAAATTCGTTGATAACTTTAAAAAATTTAATGATTAAAGATTAACAAATTAAATTATTAAATACTTAACTAATTTTCTCATGCTAATTAATTTACCATACCAACTATTATATATAAAATTTATAATTAAATTATAGTATAAAATAATAATTTACTATCAATATATTTTAATATTATATAGTTAATATTATTTAAATTGAGAAATATATAATTAGTGAAATGATATTGATGCATGATAGTATAAAATTAAAAGATAATTTCTTAATATTTATAATAATTTTACAATTTTGAACTATATTATTTTTAATAAAATAAGATTATTATTTAATATAATTTTAAAACAATTTCTTAAAAATATTATAACAATACCCACAAAATTACCGACATTATTAACGACGAATATATTCGTGATTAATTATTTTTTATTAATAATTTATAAAAAAAAATGTTATGAAGGATCGATAAACGCGAGATTCATTAATATCTTTAATATACATTATAGTTCGTACATTTATGTATTGTAAAAATGAAGTCATTAGCTCAATTAGTAGACATAATCAAACTTATTATGATAAAAATTTGTGACTTGAAAAAATCACATTAGTCACCACAAACATTACTATAACTATAAGAGTAACACATTTATTTAAGTGCATTGTTAAGCTCTATATCTTATTGAGTTTGAGAATTTTATAAAAAAAAATAATAAATGCTATGAAGGATCGATAAACACGAAAACTTTATTGGCATCTTTAATATACATGATAGCTCGTGTAATTATGTTTTGAAAAAAATGAAGCCATTAGCTCAATTAATAGAGTTTATCAAATTGATTATGATAAAAATTTGTTACTTGAGAAAATCACATTAGTCATTTTGTTTGACGTTTTAACATTTCTTGTTTTTTGAATTTGATTGTCATTTTATAATATTAGTATAATATTAAATATATTTTTCCTATTATATCCTTAATTATTATTGATGTATTATTTAATTATTGGTGAGAGTCAAAAGATTTAAAAATATATTTAGAAATTATATAATTTATTTTATGAAATCAAACATATTAACTATATTTATTAAATCACGTGTCAAAACGTTAAATGTCAAATAAAATTGAAAGTAAGGAGTATAAAAGAAAGTTATGGAGGTTTAAGGCTCTTTAGTATTTTTTTTAATTTATATGTTTGTATTAAATTTAATAATATGTTACAAGTATGTGTTGAGTTTGGAGATTTATGGTTTAAAAAAAATTATTCATTGCACAATCCTTACATATATGAACGAGTTTAAATGAGTTGAGATGACGTGAATATGACCCAAATATTAGAAAATTTAAAAAAAAATCATGTGGGTTTGAGTTAGTTTGGATTTAGGAAATTATCTATACATGTGAACAAACATCATTTGATGGATAAAGCTATTTATAATTTTATAACGAGAAACTTAATCGATTCGATTTTTTTTTTCACAGATTTATTGATTTAATCATAAAATTTCCTTCTACATTACAAAACAGTAAACTTAGTCTTTTGGCGAGTGCAATTATTTAAAAGTTAATAACTTGGAAGGATAAACTTATTTGATATATATTATGTTTTGACTAATTTGTCTTCACTCTTCAGCTTTTGCACAATCATTCGCATTCTTGCATAAAATCTAGGCAAAGTCATTCTATATTTTGGAAGAATTCAAAATCATGGAGTAAAACATAAGTATTAATTTAGTCCTTGAAATCTGTATTACCGATCAATTTAGCTGAAAAGCATCAATTTAATTTCTAAAGTTGGTCTTTTGTATTTTCACAGCAAATGCTAAAAGGAACACAAAAGCTACAGATAAATAACTTATGGCAAGACGCAGATCGATTGTTTCAAAATACAAAATTTAGTCAACTTTAAAGAAGACGAAAATCATGTTTTGTAGACTCAAATATAGTAGATTTTAGCTACTTTTATTTAATAATGTAATCACAATTCACAGAGTACCCTTAATTAAATTGAAATTTTATTTTCAACAACTAATATATTTATATTATAAAGTATTAAAAGAATAACGACATCATCAATTTTTTTTTTCACCAAAAAAAACCTGTTTCCATCACATTAAACATATCTATTTAGTTATACATATATATTATGAAGCATTAGAATCGATTTAGTAAAGAATTGATTTAAATATATAATTGAAACCCTAAGCATGAAATCATAAAAGAATGACCTCATATATTGTAAGGTAACATGATACAATTTGTTTATATTATAAAGTATTAAAACAATGACGACAATTTATCCGTTTTTTTTTCACCCAAAAAGACATGTTTCCAGCACATTAAACATATCCATTGAGTTCATATAATTTCTAAATATATTTTTAAATCTTTTATAAACTATTAAAATCGGTTTAATAGAGAGTTGGAATAATATGCACATAAAAGAATACGGATTTAAATATATGATTGAAACCGTAAGCATGAAATCATAAAAGAATGACCTCATCTATTGTAAGGTAACATGATACAATTTGTTTAAAAGAAAAACATAAGAAAACCAAAAGAAGTAACAAGACATGAACCCAACCAAAAGTATAAATAAGAATGAAAAACAATCCAATGTTACCTAGGTGGTTTTCCCTGCATTACTTGTGAAGAAGTACCACCTGTTGTATACAATGATTTAAGCTGTCTGCTTATGAGTTTGCTATGAATAGCCTGCTGAAGCTGTGCATCACTAGACCACCATTGTTCCAAGCCATGAGCTTCATGGAACTTCTGCTTTTCCTTGGTCACAACAAACAATTTTGCTGCAATTTGACCATTAGTTGGACCGACATTCTCCTTGTCAGCATCATCATTCTTGTCTCCCGAGCACTCGGAATCCGTGTAAGAGCAACATATGTAGTCACTGTTGTTTACATACAGATGAGGAACCCATTTTCCCACCCCAAATCCAGCATTCTTGAAGCTAGATAACCTTGGTATCCAACTCTTAAGTCCTAAGCTCAAATTCTTGTCACCATCATTGCCAACTTGAGCTTCTTGTGAAGAAGGGAGCATAGACTTAAGCCTCTTCCAAACCAACTCAGCCTTTTCTCCAATGTTTCTGAGACTCATGGCCAGTGAAACTGAAGGTGGATTGAACAAATGTGTCTCCACATAAATGCCTTCTTTTGCTAGTGCCTTTCCCACTTGAAGAGCAAAACCTGCTCCCAATGAATGACCAGCAACACAAACACTGCTGCTTCCATACATTTCGGAGACCGATTTTAGAACCTCCAATGCTACTTTGAATCTGACAGAACCCTTCAGGCTTTCCCAGGCAAGGAAGCGAAGGTCGTCTTCGATGTCTCTTCGCATCGTAGGGCTTTTAAGTAATGTTCCCCTTAGTGCTAGAACAGCTTTGGGGGCACCACTTGGTCTTATTAGTACTAAGTCAGCCATTGCTGCAGATCTGTCCCATTCAAGTATTGCACCAAATATGGATCCATCTCTTTCATCAATCAATGTTTGTGTGAGCTTGTACTTGAAGGGAATCCACCAATTTGGAGCTAGAGCACTTTCTTGCGATCGATTCTCCTGTCTGTCAAGTTCAAGAAGGTAAACTGCCTGTATGAAGCAAGCAATGACAGTTCTTTTGTAATTTGCATCCTTCCTGCGTATACACAAAATAGTTATCACTTATCAGTATACACATACACTGAAAGAATGTATTCTGTTGCCAGTAAACTTAGATGATTTTCCATTATGTTCAAAATGGCATGTGAAGAATAAGTCACTCTTGCTAGAGTTAATGGTAATGTGATACTCAACCTTACATGCATAGACCATAGAGTGGAAAATTTTATGAATGAAAAAGTGAAAGCGAAATGAGAAAAGTGCATGATTTTCACAAGTTTAAAAATTAAATGAGACTAGCAAAGCAGTCTATAACCAATCATGTGTGTTTGGATTGCTATTTGTAAGGCACCAAATGTCTGTTCACGCCCGAAGCTCAAAACGGAGAAGCAATAGTCAGAACCCAACTTATCTGATTCAAAAAAATCTTCACTGCCAAGCCATTACAAGTACCTCAACCAGAACTCTGAATTGAAATCTTCACTTTTTTGTTTGAAAAAATGTTTTCTAAAACAAATCTACACTACTCAGCAATTTTTCATCTAAAATCTATTAAGTTTTGAAAATCTTTTCCAAAACGAGTAAAAACTGGAAAACAGAAACCCTGAGAGAAGTTTTCTCATTTTCCCCATTCTCGTATTTTCTTCAAGTGCCTTGTTCAGGTGGTGAGGACATAAACTTTTAAAAAACAGAAATGTTCTCGGGAAGACAAACACTTTCAAATGTACTCACGAGACAAATTTTAGAAAGCAGAAAATTGATTCTGAAAACAGTAAACAAACAAGGCATTAGTTTCTACATGGGGGAAAACTACATGAATATAACATTAACCGTGTTATAAATTAAAATTACCAAGAAAAGGGTAGTAATTCAGGCCTAAGGACCCGTGTTATAAATTAAAATTAAAAATGAAATAAACATAGGAAAAAAAACTGCTATGGTAGTCCAATTAGTAGAAAGGATTTTAATTAAGAAATCCATAATACAAAAAAGTGAAATTCTTTTCTCTTCATACTCGGGAATTTGGTATATGCGAATGCGATCCAAGTAAAGCCAAAAATATAATAGCAAATGCGTAATTCTAAATTGACTAGTCAAGTCTTTTTCGTAGAGAATTCCTAAAACGAAAACAATCACATTGATGATATTCTTAATAATAGCAGAGGAAATGCTGTAAATCAGGGTGACCAAAAGTCTATCATAAATACTTAATAATTGAAGCAACTAAGATATTTGGTATCAAAATGGAGATTCTAACAAAGAGAACAAAAACACACCAATTTAAGGCAAATAAATGATAAACATATAAGGAAACTAAAGAAGCACGCATCAATTATCATTGACCTTTGTAGTTTTTGAACCACGGTTGAAAACACCTTTTATATATAGTTCACAATTAATTTCATATGCACCCACCAAAAATCTTTTTTATAAAAATTAAAAACTAAAAGAGAAGGATTCAATCCCGAACATGTACTTGAAGCAACCATATAATTCTGTCATTTAGATCTCTAAAACCCAAGAACCCCATCTCCAATTTATTAGATATACGCCAAACCCAGTTGACAAATCTTGCTATTTTTACATTTCAAGCCAAAAACAGTAAAATTGAAATCCTCCACAAACCCATTTGATAAAATTTGCACAATTCAAATTCCCTACAAACCCATTTTTCAAACTAGGCAACGTAGTGCTAAAATCGAAAACCCCATCACACTAACAACTTCAAAACGGATCAAAAGTATTGAAACATCAAGAAATCAAGCATGCGTGCAAAAATCAAATTCCCTACAAACCCATTTCTTAAACTTGGCAACCTCGTGCTGAAATCTAAAACCCCATCACACTAACAACTTCAAAACGGATCAAAGCATTGAAACATCAAGAAATCAAGCAAGCGTGCAAAATTCAAATTCCCTACAAACCCATTTCTTAAACTTGGCAACCTCGTGCTAAAATCCAAAACCCCATCACACTAACAACATCAAAACGGATCAAATCATTGAAGCATCAAGAAATCAAGCATGCGTGCTACTAGCACCACCACTCCCAAAAGCCAAGTTTCAAATTTTGCACGCCAAGGTTCAAGCACTGACCAAATGGGGCCAAGAAAAAGCAACCCCGAAAGCCAAAAAGCTAAATTTAACTAAAATTCAGAAGGAACGGAGCAAAAGGTGAAAAGGGTACCCACCAGCTAGAACTGATAAGGTCTCTCCAGTTGAGGGTGGTCAAATTGCGAGGACCAGAAACATGAAAGGCGTAAGGGTGAGATGCTTCTTCTTCTTCTTCTTGAACCACTTCGTTTGTTCCTTCCTCTTTTTCTTCTTCTTCTTTCATCACTGGGCTTGTGATTTGCGTGCTCATAGTGATGCTGCAAAGAGAGAAAGTGAGAGCGTGAACTGTGTCAAGTGGTGGCTTTCCTTTGTGGGAACTAGTTGTTTAGGATCTTCGTTGGATTTCTTGTGTTCTTTTCTTCGTAAAACAGTCAAATAATAACCAAATTCAAAAACGATTGCGAATTCGGATCCCACTATGTAACGGTCATATTTCTACTGACGCATCCGTTTCTGTTTTTTGTTTTTAATTCTTTTCTTCAAGTGCAATAATCAAACAAAAATGAATTTTTTTTCACTCTAATTTTAACGATTTCGTTAATTTTCTTCTTTAACTTTTGAAATTGCATATTTTATTACATAATTTATATATATTTTTTATATATTTTATTATTTATAATTTTTTTATCTTTATCTATTAATTAATAGTTAACGTGTCATATTGATTATTAATATATATTATTGATGTGATAAATGAATGGTATAATTTGTATGTTAACTCATTAATAATTAATTAATTAAAATAATTAATTATTAATTAATAAATTAATAATTAATTTATTAATAATTAATTAATGAAAATAATTAATTAATTAACAAAATGATAAAATATGAAAAATTTTGAAATCTAGATAATAAGACATAGAATTTCAAAAGTTAAGGGACAAAATTCATAAAATTGAAAATTTAGGATGAAAAAATGTGTAAATATATTTTTTTTAAAAATTATATATATTACTAGCTTTGTTGATAATTAACCTTTGTAAGAGTATTTTATTGACTACTTTCAATAAGGTTTCCATTTTTAATCATTATTCTTATCTACAATATTTAAAGTGAAACCTTATTAAGGAAATCAAATCCAGTTTTAATTGACCTAAAAACTTGTTGATATTTGCTTAAAGTTTCTAATGATCTATAATTAGGTCTTTGTACTGAAAAAATAAATTATAGTTAAATTCTTATTTTTTTTTTTACAATTTTTATGATTCAATATTTAAAGTTAGTAAGATTGTCATACTTTTTTTTTTGACGTTGTGTTGTAAAAATTATAAAAAATCAAAGACTTAATTATAAATTTTTTAATTTAGAGTCCTAATTAAAAATTTTAAAAACAATTTAAGGACATACAATATAATAGAGATCTTATACATTAGATAAAAAGAAAATTTTATTATATATAATTAAAATTTATAATAAAAAGTTGTATGTGTAAGTAAATATTATATT